CACATAAATTGGATTCGATTTCGACTAAGTACATTACTTAAACATTAAATATTAGTTCAACTTATTAATATGATGTTTAGGATACAGGATATTGCATCCTCATTTAAAAGTGAATTATGTTTGTAATTTCCCCTTTATAATAATATATTTTTTCCAATTTTAATATCAGGTGTATCCAGATTAAGCAGAATGATTTTGAAGTATTTTTTCTTTTTCTATTGTCTATAAGATTTGGCATGATCTGTTTTTTGAAGTTATCTTTTATTTTTATTTATAAATATTGTCTATTTTTTGAGGCTTTGGGAAAAAAATATAAGATAAATTGATGATTCCATACTGAACCTCAGAGTCAAAGCATTCTATAATAAACCTACTCTTATTTGACAATGTGAATGTTACTCTTGGCATTACTATTATTATTGCTTAATACTTCATTGCAGCAATCGTCTGATTTCTTTTCTGAATGTATTTATCTTCATTCATTGTTTAGGAGGTTTTTGTTTCTAGTCCTTATCTTAAACAGTGTTATTGTTGTTGAATTTTAAGCCTTTTTAACTCTGTGAAGGCAAAAAGTGGAAACCTAATGAACACATCTATATGTAAAAATTAAAAAAACCCAGAAATGTTTGCTTCTGTCATATACATTTGAAGCAGTAAAGTAATTTTTTAACATACCTTTCTAAATCCAAAAAAAAATTTTTATGTTTAGCAGTTAAAAAAACCACTAGCTTTTATAAAAATTCCTTCCGAATCTATAAAACAGCAGAATTTTACCACGGACTGCTTACAAGTTGTACATTAGACTCCCAGACTGGGGCGACTCTCACTGTGGGTGGCCAATAACACGGTTCTAGGTCATTAGTTATCTTACAATAAATACTCTGGGTGAAGACTGCACAGTTAAAGACACAATTACACATACAGACAAAGCGGGAGTGACCTCGGGTTTGTAGCCTCGAGGTGCTCCTCAGGAGACCTCCTCGTCTTCCATATCAGAAATTCTGTCTGTAGATTTAAGGATATTGGCAGCGTTTCGGCTCCCGAAGCCGGCTGCTTTCTGGAAGTCTGAGCGCTACTCACGACAACCTGGAGATTCGCCAAGGCCACATCGGTGTTCTGCTTCACGACAACGAAGCTGGCACCCTGGCCTGACCGGGAGACCTGAGCCTAGAGCAAATCTATTTCCTGTTTCAGTTACATAACGAGATTTTTCTGCCTCTGCGGCCCGTTTTGTTCTGAGCTCCAGGTTCTGCTCCACGTGCTGAACCACCGAGTCCAGCTCGTGGTCGTCACTCTCTTCCTGGATCATTTTTGCCTCCAATTTCCCCTCAAGTGTCCTCACCCTTGGAGTAATTCTGCTGGCTGAGTCTTATTTGGACAAGCTAAGGTTCTTGGTTTTGAGAAATTCGTAAAAGGAAAATGGATCTGCCTCTTCCAGGCGGCCACTACGCTACTCTACTCCCAACACGAGTCTCACGGGCTCCCGAGAGACCTTGCTTAGTACAGTTCCCCTTTCCGTACCCCAAATCCGAATCTCCCACGGCACCGGGCACCGGCACCGGGCACCGGACCCGGCACACAGCACAGAAGCTCCGCCACAGGCGGAGCCACCACGGGACGCTCGCAGTCTAGCTAGGAAAGGCAAGATGGGCACTCACAGAACGCGGAGGCGTCGGGAAGGACCAGGCTCCGGGCTGGGGACGGCGGGGCGGCGTCCAGGCGGCCGGTGGCCCCACACGGCCAGGGGACCGCCGCCGGCAGGCTGGACAGGCTGGACTTGCCTGGTCTGGTAGCGGCAACTCCACAGCCCCGTCTCCGCTTGGGCAGCACGCGGCCGTCGGCGTCTCGGTCTGTGGGCCTCGTCGCCTTCCGCTCGCCGCCGACACTGCTCGGCCGCCGACGCGCTCGCTCGGAGCCTCCCGCCGAGCCTTCGGGTCTGTTACGCGGCCCGCGCGCCGGAACCAGGCCCAACGGTCCCAACGGTCGGCACGGCCGAGGCCCGCGCGGAGGCTGGCATGGGGGCGGGGGCCCAGGCGGGTGGACTGCCCTGAGCTCGCCGTTTAGAGACCAGCCAGACCC